CATACATACATACATACATACATACATACATACATACATACATACATACATACATACATACATACATACATACATACATACATACATACATACATACATACATACATACATACATACATGCACACACACACACAAACACATATGTATACAAACATCGAAAATGAAACATCCGACGTCGGAGAGAGCGCGTTCCACCAGCGCTTGCCTTGGGAACATTCGGCGGCGCGTTTCGAATCGAACCGGGGGGTGTCCCCCCCCAGCACTCGGCGCCGTCGATCAGAACCAGAGGGACTCCCCTCCCCCCTAACCCCCCCTCCCGAACCCCCCCACCCCCCCGGCGCCAGAGCCCGCGCCGGCGGCTGCCAGCAGCGCCGACGGCGGGGACGCAGCGACGATCACCAGGGAGGGCCCAGAGGCCGCAGAGGGAACACGCAAATCGCCATGTCGAGCCCTCGCCCCCCAGGAAGATCCACGAGGCTTGCTCCGCAGACGCCCCCGCGACCCTTCTGACGAGACCTCAAGAGGCATCCATTAGAACTCTGACCCAAAGCCAAAACACAGTGGCGGGAAGAGCCGAAGGCCACACCACCACCACAAACCACTACCCCACCACCACTACAACCACCACCACCACCACCACCACAACCACCACATCCCACCACAACCACCTCCATCACCACAAACCACTACACAACCACCACCACCACCACCAAAAACGCCACCACCACCAGCACCACCACAACCCACCACAACCCACAACATCCACCACCACCACCACCAAAAAACACCACACCATTACCAGCACCATCACAAACCACCGCGACCAGCACAACCACCACCACCACCGCCACCACCACCACCACCACACCACCACCACCACCACCATAACCACCACAACAACCCACCACCACCACCCACCACTCACCACCCACCACCACCACCACCACCACAAACCACCACGCCACCACCAGCACCACCGCCACCACTACTACCACCACCACCACCACCTCAAGCCACCACCACACCACCACCACCACAACAACTCACTACAACCACCACCACAACCCACCACCACCACCACAAACCACCACACCAGCACGCCACCACCGCCACAACCACCACTACTACCACCACCACTACCACCACCACAACCCACCACACCACCACCACCACAAACCACCACACCACTACACAACCACCACCGCAACCACCACCACAACCACCTGACCACCACAAACCGCCGCCACCACCACCACCGCCACCAACACCATCACAAACCACTACACCACAATCACCACCACCACCGCCACCACCACCACCACCACAACAACCCACCACCACCACCACAAACCACCACCACACCACCACCAAACCACCATCACCACCGCCAACAACCACCACCACCACAACCCACCACCACCACCACAAACCACCACATCACCACCACCACCACCACCACCGCCACAACCACCACGCACCACTACAACCACCACCACCACAACAAACCACCACCACAACCACCACAACCACCACAACCGCAACCACCACCCACCACCACCACCGCCACCACAACCAATACCACTACCACAACCACCACGACAAACTACCACACCACCATCGCCACCACCACCACCTTAACCCACCACCACCACCACAACTACCATCACCACCACCACCAAAAACCACCGCACCACCACCACCACCGCCACCATCACCAGCACCACAACCTGCCACCACAACCACCACAACAACCACCACAGCCACCACCACCAAGCACCACCGCCACCGCCACCACCACCACCGCCACCACCACCACCACCACCGCCACAACCACCACCACCACCACCACCACAGCCCACCACCACCGCCACCACCTCAGAGAGGCCCCAAGAGACGCCCAAGAGGCGCCCAGGAGGCTTCACAAATGCTCTTCAGAGGCCCCCGAGAGCCCTCCGACGAGACCCCAAGTGGCATCCATTAGGACTCTGACCCAAAAGCAAGGCACGGTGGCGGGGCGTTGTCGTCGTCGTCATCGCCGTCGCCGTCCCGCCGCCGCCGCCCGCCGCCACAAGCGCCGGCGCCGGCCCAGAAAAGGAAGTGGTCGCCCCCGCCGCCGCCGCCAGCCGCCGCCGCCGGCCCGAGGAAAGGAAGAGAGGAAAAGTAGGGGAGAGGGGGGGGAGGTTGAAACCCCCCTCTACGCCCTGGGAAGGGGGGGGGTTCGAACCCCCCCCTCTTCATCCAGGGGGGGGGTCCAGATCCAAAGCCCCCCCCTCCAAGCGACCACAGAACGTGCCCTTTCCGACGTCGCGGTGTTTTCCCACCGGGGCTCTCGAGCGCATCTGGGGGCTCATCGCTCATCCTGAGCAGATCCAGGTGCCCAAAAGTGGCCTACGGGCGCCGAACAATGAGAACAGAAATGTAAAAAACAGTCTGGCGCGACTGTTTCGAGTCACCACAAGGACTGTGGGGAGGGATCAGGTCCCCGAACACCCCATAGAGG